TGACGTAAAACTGAGTAGATTCACTGCCTTATATTAGGCTAAGGTTTTGACTCTGAATTCTTTCCTTTAAATTGATAATACATCCTTCTAAGTGGGAGTTTGTCCAGAAGCCAGCTTCATCTGCCTACCGTTATTCTGCATCAACACTTGTGATCAGCAATAAAAATCCCCATGATATGCATTACCTAATAACTTAATACACCACTTGGTTAAATGGTTTTCTGTCAGTATTTACTTTCTTTCTACCTTTCCTCCTAAATGATATCACAACAGATGAAATCCTTGATGTTTATATACATATAAAAATGGGTTTGCTTTCTAAAAGAACTGTCAGATCCTTATGATTGCCCTTTGGCAAAATCTGTGTGACAATATCCCCAACTAAACATTTGATATGAAAGAAGAACTGAGCTCTAAATAAAGATCCAACCTCATCTAGATGTTCCGCACAAAACTGCTATTAGTATTGAACAAGATTAACATCTGCGTGCTCGGAGAAAATAGATCTATGAGAATAGCTAAATGTACTCAAATAACCTGGTAATCAGAAAAAAAGAATTCAAATGAACTACTTTTAAGCTATCTACACAATCAGCTTTTCCCAGGGTATTTCTGAGGGCTCGTGTGTCAGCTGTGGCAGGAACATGATTTGAAGCCTATGAGTACTAGACATTGTTCTAATGATATCACACTCATGTAATGCTGAGAACAACAAAAATAAAATGAAACTGTTTTCCACACTGGGCTTTAATAAATACTTTCAGCTAAAATAAAGCAGAACCTGCATTAATAAAGAGTATAGATTGTATCAGAGTAATGTTAAGCCTGTCCCCCTGTCTTCTGTCCCCAGGCAGCACAGACAGGCAGGACAGGGGCAGTTAGAGGCAGAGGGCGATGCAGGGGGCAAGTGATAGGGGGCAGGCAGCAGAAGAGGTAGGGGCAAACATAGGAGGGCAGGGGATGGGGGCAGGCAGGGGAGGCAAAGGTCTGTCTCCTTGCCCCCCGCCTTGCCCTCCCCCCGCTTTAGGGGGCTGAATTTTAGACAACCCTCCAATAATTAGATTGTATACATGGAAAACTATAAATGTGTTATAATTTATAATTTTCCATGTATAGAATCAATTATAGGGGGGGAGGTGATCTAAAATTCAAAGTTTCTTTGGATTTGGGTGACTATGGCAACTTAACTATTGGGAAATTTACTTGCAGTTTGAAAGCGGAGTTTCTATCACATTTGTGATAAACTGCTGGGCCACTGCAATTGTCTAAGTTTAGCAGAAAACAGAAGAGGTAAATCATAAGCTTACTCATGAGTAAAACAGCCCGAAAGTTAGAAAGGATTTTTTCTTTAAAGTTTGTCTTTGTTGTTGGCATTATTTGCTATTTCGTATTGAGGAATTCTGCCACTATTTTTCCACAGATTATTCATACAGTTGCTGTAAGAAGAAAGGTTAGAAATAAGCTTGAGGAAAAGAATACAAATATCTTTAAAGTACCAATGACTCACCAATGCATTTGTGTTGTTCTATTTGGTGTGTGTTCTTTTGTCAATAAAATAAGATTTCAATGAAAATTTATAGGGTTGATTTTATAAATATTTATCGGGTTAGTGAACTGGCTGGTGGCCCTTTGTCTACAGCATTATTAAAGCCATCAATTCCCCCAGGCATGGTCCTAGCTCAGGCTTTCTGTATTCATGATTTGCACAATAGCTCATGTCAACAAAACAAGAGAGTTTTTTTATTAACATTATTGCTATCATCACAGAAACATGTCAGACTCCAACATCTAAATAATATGATCTCTATTCTATGGTTACATTAGTCCCTTAACTTCATGAGCACCAAACTTGAGAAATATTTGGAGGAAAATGAATACTTTCAAAGATCTAAGAAAGGTATTGAACAAAAGAATGAGATTTGCCATTTCATATTTTACCTTCCTAAAATCATGGAGACTAATTTTTTGGGTCAGATCATATAGCTGAGGCTAATTCTTTATTTTCAAGACGGACTCCAGTGTTCACCCAAGGTTTCCCTGAATCACACCTTCATTGGGCAACCAAACAATCTTTGGTTATTTTTGTTGAAATAAAATCCATGTCATGGGGAAATATTCTTTGGCAGAATTCTTTTTAATGCAAAGGACCCAATCCTGTGTAACGTAGACTGAGCCTTGACCCATGTACCACTTTGGTCAAAAAGAATCAATTGTATGCTCAATGCCAAGAATTCAAATACATTCTCCTTTATTAACTATCAGTATTTGCTAATGAGGATAAAATCTGTTATATACATTTCAAGTAGTATTAATTATTGAAAGAATTAGTACCGTATCAGCACTGCTTTGTACTGAGTTGTCTGTTCACAATATGTATGAGAAAAGGGTTAAAATGACATAACAACTCTTATGGAAAGCACTATTCACATACAAATTAAGGAATATATTTCCTCTCCATAAAGTGTGACTTTTTTTTTACAGTAATTATCTGCATTATTATTTGAATAAAGTCTCCACTGAAAAGCTAATTATTGTTACTTAATATTCAAAGTTATGATAGTAAAAAAAGCATCAGAGTTAATCCTGGCAGAGTCACAAAATAAGCCAAAGTATAACTTGATAAAAAATGTAGAAGGATTGGCTTAAGCAGTGAATGCAAATTACATGAAAAACACTTCTGAGAAAATATGGATTAACATACATGCATGCATATTGCAAAAGTGTTTGAAATCTAATTAAAGTGTCTTCATAGTACCTTCACATTAGATCTTTAAGATCAACTAAGCCTCGTTATCTCATTAACCTTCCTTTTGACTCCTCTGTAATACAAGTGTCATTATATTAATTAGCCATTATCCTGGCCTATAAGTACTGACCATTGTGTCTGTATTTAGGAACATTACTGCTTAGATGTACAGATATAATTTATAGAAGTGCTGTTCATCTGACCAGTACTTAAAGCTTAATGCTGCCCCCTCCCCCATTTAACTTACATGCACATTCTAATGGTTTAAGCAGCACACCATCTGATTTGATAATGCTGAAACAGATTAAATAATTATGCAAGTGTGTTTTACAATATATAACATTGCCATTACATTAGACAGCATAGTAGTATGAATGCATTAAGCATTAAATGTCAATTGAGTTTTTAAAGATTGCATTTTTTTTAAAACAGAACCTAAAGCTGCAGAAAATTAAAAAGTATCCAGACTGGTGTCAGAAGGGGTCACTCTAGTGCTGACTCTTGGAGCAGCAGCTGTCTAGCCAGAGGAGATATGGACCTGTCAATTTGTTTGGAAAGCTTTAAATTATCTGACAGTGGTAAGTAGTAGCACAGGCAGCTCTTCTCTTTTGCACCATGTACATATCCAATAATGTCTAAATGAATAATAAATAATAATATAGTACTAATGAATTAATCCTGTCATTTCACAGAAATGTATGAAAACAACTAATTTTAGACATTTAATTTTTGTAAGCAAAACATTCATCTATTTCAACAGTTTCATCTCAGTAAAGAGGGATGAATCAAGTCCAAATGTCACACATTTAGAACAGCAGCATACAATTATTTATACTGTGGGAAAGCCCCTCATTGTGTTAGATATCCTCTTAAGTTAGGTAGTCTAGGTGACACGGGCAAGGAAAATAATCTGGGCATCTGTATTTTGTATGAAGAGGAGGGACAAACCTATACTTCAGATAAAGCAAGGAAGGAGGTGAACACAGCAGTCACCTGAGGAAATAGTGAGAACCTGCATGAGAATCATTTCTGCCTGGAAAAGATGACAGGGGATATTTTATACATGAGAGAAGAAGTGACAGGTTACGGACATAGCACTAATAGATATGAGGGATGAAATAGTACTAGTGAACAAGAGAGTTTTTCCTTAGTCAATGGTGCTTTCAACAGTAACAAAGAACGAAGGAACAAAGTTGATTTCAGAAGAAAAAGCAGGTATTTAGGACAGCCATCCAGATATTGGAGCCACTGGTTTCAAAAACTCAGCTAGAATAGAGGTGCAATCAAAACTTTCTAAGCTTCTTAATCACAGAAACTGCAATGGGAGAGAAGCAATGCAGGGGACAATTCTGGACTTGCCCTGTTCACTCTCCTCCTCAGCATCCACTCTCTGCCACTGTGTGAGACATGCTACTGGACAAGATGCATCTATGTTCTGCCTCAGTAAATAATATTTCTTATGTTCTTACGTAAAAGAGAAAGGCGGCAAAAAGCAAAGAGCCTGGTGGAACCCCCAGGTATGGTTTGACAGGGGAAGTGGATGACTAACAAATCATTTGAAAGAAAAATCAGAGAAGTAGGGGTTTTGCATGTGTGAGCAATATAAGATAGGCTCCTTTATATCCTTACAAAGGCCTTGAATATGTTATCACTTTTAACAATCAGAAGCCTAAATCGGGACTCCTAAAACCATATTTAGGCACCAATGTAGGTAGCCTGACATTTCAGTTAATAAACACCCAGAAACTCTCACTGAGATTTATGAGTACCTAATACTTTGGACTCTTGTCTGGAAAATAAGTTTAAGTAGCATGGAAACTGAAAAAATACAAACATTTTCACTTTTTTTGTTTGCAAAGCAAGAGAGCTAGAAAAGTGTTGTTCATAGTTCATGCAGTACAATAATTACATTTCTATTCAAAGCAACTTTTTTTTCCATAAATACTTACTGCTCTACAGATGGCATACTAACAACGCACAATATTTAACAGTATTAAGAGTTCAGAATATAGAGCAAATAAACTGTGGACCTGTCTTATTTTTTTAAATATGTATTATTTATGCATAACTACAAATGCTATTACATTTTGTTTTTCTGCAAGCTTATTTATAGAAGGAAAACTATTAATGAAAATGTATTACCAGCATCTGCGTTTATGTTTAGCAATTAAGATAAAATTTAAAAAGTGAAAAAGGCAACTGAATAACATCCAGACACGTTCCTATAGCTGGTAATTAAAATAGCTCTCCTTACCATTCACTTGGAGAATATGAGTTTGATACAGTTTATCATAGCCATCAGCATAGCAGGTGTAATTTCCCATGTGAGTAGTGGTAACCTTAGTAATGTACAAGGACCCATCATCTCCAAAATCCTATAGGGAAAGATTAAAAACAAGGTGATCATAATTACCTTAACAGCACTACAATAATTGTGTTCTTCATCTTGGCAACAAACCTGTGCTGCAAATATCAAGTGTCTACTTTGCAAAGCAAAATATTCTAAAGGTAATGATGCTCTGGATATTGGTTGGTATTAATGAAGACAGAATTTGATTTTAATAGAGTCATAGTTTTGTATTTTCCTTTTGCACATCACATTTATTAAAAATAAATCTATAAAACTCATTAAACATTTATGCTAGTAATATTTTTAATTGCACCTAGCTTGTCTCGATTTATTTAAGAACAACAACAAATAGGGGATGTTACTTTTGTATCTATCTCTTCAAATGAAGTGGAGAGGGGAAGGGGAAGGAGGTGGGAAGCAAGCCCTGTCCAGTTTAACTGTAATACCATATTGCAAAATTCAGCTTCTATTTATACTTAGAAACTTTAATACACACAGGCAAACACAAACACACACACTTTTTAATGAACTTTGGGCTCACTTAAATTCTACCTTCAAAAACATATTTAATCAGAAAACAGGTTCCACAGCATTAAGGTACAGAGTTAGAACCTAGGTTCAGTCTCAATGACATTCTCTACATGCAGTCTGTCAGAGGTCATTAACTATGTTAGTCTGAAGTCAGGCAAAAGAAAGTATAGATTTGCACCTTACAGACTAAGTCATCAGAACTATTTATCTATCCATCTATCTGTCTATCCATCTATTGCTCTGTGCATGTCCTGTCTAAGCATCTGACCTTGGGCTCACTGAAGTTAAATGCTAAGTGTAAGGAATTATTTTTACTAATAAGATAGAATTTCAAATTTAGAAGAAGTTAACTACCATGTTAGTTATTAGGCAGACTCACAATAAAATAGCTACTCATACACATTCAGTTTTTCTTTGCATTATTTTTCATTTTCTATGGTGGTAACTTTAATACAATATTCATTTCCCAACGCATCTTTTTGATATGCCCTATGAATTTTCAGCTACTGTGTTCAAAGTCCTGCTAGGTTACTTTTGTTCTACAACATTATCTGCCATTATTTTCTCTGATCATATAATATCTTATTTGTTTTTATTTATGTTTACACTGTGCACACTTTTATTAAAACAATAGGTTCTTCCTGTTGTGTTTTATTTATATATACTTGGACTTGGGAGCTAGGAGCAGCAGGAAGGAGGAGGACACGGGCGCACGTGTGTTTTGTACACACGTGTGCCCCCCTTAC